GAGCAATCTCTAGAATTATGATTACCGGTTGGAGCAGCATCTTTTTGTAAATGGGAAGGGAGTGGACTGGAATTTGAGGCCTCGTCACGATGATATGCCTCCATCTTCATTAAGGACTCAACAGAAAGAGGCAAAACATAGCCGTTGGAAATGAGCTCATCAGCATGAACAAGGGTAGTGAGAGGAGATTGTGAAATGGCAGCTGGGAAGTCAAATTTGAAATCCTGCTGGGAATTCATAAAGAACCTCTGAGAGGGCGGCATTGTTGGGTCCATCTCGATGAAGGAAGCCTCATCGTACGCATCAAGCGAGGTTCTGACAGAGTTGTCAAGGCTCTCCAGAGAAGCTGGTTTAAGGTTTACTAACCAACTATATGAAAAGCTTTCAATGGAAAGAGGCTGGGATGCTTCCATGGCTTTCAAACTTGTATGAGAAAGATATGAACATACAAAAAGGCTGGAAAATTTGCTAATTTCTAGCAGATCAGGCACTCTTGCATGTGGAACATATGTCCTGCTCCATATATATATACACCTCAATATCCTCCCTCACTTCTCCTTCTCCTCTCTCCAACAGTTGTGTATGTGGTTGTCGGGCAAGAGACACTGAGTTTTGATAATTTAGAAAAAGAGAAAAGGAGGAAAGAAACAGAGAAATGTGAGCCCCACACGCATCTATAATGTTGTATCTGCATCAGTAGTTAACCCCGCTTTTCCTTTTAATTCTTCTTAAAAGTTGACAAAGATGATGTTTTATTTTTACATTTTTATTTTGCTTTGAAATTAAATAAAAAAAAATTAAATTCAAACAGGTTCATGCATGCTCGATTAATTTATAAGCCGGATTTGGCTACGAGCTTAATCAAAATAAGTTCCTAAATGTAGAAGTAATTACACACAGATATTAGTGTATAAGGCAAGCAAATTCATGCACGTCTGTACAAGCTCCATTATTTATCCAATTCCAACCCATATTCTCTCACAAGTATATTATTATTTTTTAATGTACATATTATTATTAATAGAGGGGGAGAATGGTTCGAAACTATTACAATAATTTAGAGAATGAGGAGTTTCGAACCAAAGACGGATGAATAGAAACTCAACTTTCTATCCACTAGGATATTGGACCTCATGCAACATTACCTGTACTATATGTATTCGAGAAAATGTTAGTTGAATTTGTTTAGAAAGATGTCATTGTCTAATTTTTATGTTATTTTTTCTAATCAAGATTTGGTGTTACATTGTATTTATCAAAAAGTTTGGGAAGGGTTTAGACCAGTTTTGAGAGGATGATTTCAGCATAAGATGTTCACTTGCGAGCTACCTCAGCCTAAACAATGTATAATACTATTCTATTATGTCGCAATCATTATATGCTGTATGCAACTATAGTGCGTTCTGAATAGTTATCAATGTCGCAAATATGTAATTAGGTTCTAGAAAGGGCAGACCTGTTATTAGCAAGTATTCTGCTGAGGTTTTATCATACAACTAATCAAGAATTTATCTTTTTTTTTTCACTCTCTCATCATGTGATCACATATCTAGCGTTATAAAAATGTTTGATAAATCTCTAGTTACACCCATTAATCTTTGCGTTTTGCGTGCCGGGTAAATCAACACAAATTTAGGGGGGAAAGGGAAACGTTTATTAGTGCTTTAAGCCTATGCATACAGACAGCAGATACATTGGACCATGAGCATGAGGAAAAGAGAAACCAGAACCTGAGGTGTTTCCTTTGTTAGGTTCAATAGACCACACCTGGCTACTAAAGGGAAAAATGAAAGAGAAGAAAAGGATAGAAAAGTTCAAACATCATGATTACCCATGACTTCTATAGATCACACTATTCAAAATTCATGCACAACTTATAAAATTTCTTGCAAGTGTAGACGTAATCACATGGACTCAACGAGATGTGTACCTTTCTATGTATTCAAGTTTCATTTCTCTACTCGGTGATGCTCCTTCCACAATTTTTTTCAACGATTAAAACTGTTTATATTTTAGTATATGATCATTGATTATCCTTGTAGAAAATTATACAAATTTAAAGACAACAGAATATTTTCAGATATGAGAACTGGCTAGGCAAGCATTCTCATGGTCCTCTAGTATATTACAATGCAAGGACAGCAGTGAAATCCTACACACAAATGGAAGGAATCAATCTGTAGCAGAAAAGAAACAAGAAAATATCACAAAGTTTTCCTGGTGCGGAAATCTCAAGCTTTTTCATCCACTACTAGCAGTATCTTCTCATGCTCAAATTAATTTTCAGAGAAATTTGCATCCTTTTAGTCCAAACTGAACCATTTAATAAAACAAATCGCTACGAAAACAAGTAAAAGTAGACAGGGGTCCCCGGGGATGTCGGAGAAAGAACTCGACATGAACCCAGGATTTAGTGACAACCTAGAAAAGGAGAGTGACTTGAAACCAATTGGTCCCCCTCTTCTGTCCCCCTTTTAAGACAATAAGCAAATGCTAAAGATTCCAAACATTCATAATATTATGGTAGTTTGCTTATGTGAGAATGCTCATCATCAATCATCATCAATTAAAATTTCTTTGGAAATTGGTTAAAATGATCATAATCAATCCCAATTGATAGACTGGTCAAAATTAAATATCAACAATATATCAATCAAATATCAACAACATAACGGTCAGAGATTATTAACTTAACAATCAGATATCGACGACATACCTAAAAAATTGATGCAAATTTGAAAATTGGTATTTTTGGCTAATTTCCCAGACCTCTTTATAATAACAACATTTAGATCCCTAACGTACATAAATAAATCAACGTGCTTGTTTCTTCTTTGTATGCCGTTTATTCCATACGCCGCAGAACAAGAACATCCTATACTTTTGGTCCCACTAAATTGTACAGAAGGGATTAACTTAAAATTTTCACATCTGCTTAGTCAACCTCTAAGCCTTTTTATATGTTATAGTTTCCCTCAAATCCTGATTTGTTAAGTTCCCTCAGCCTTTGTTTCCTGTGTTGGACTCCAAATTTATTTCCAACATTTAAATTGCAACAGTAAAGATGAACGTTTGAACATGACATCGATTTGCAACAAAAAATGGGGCACAGGAACCCTAAACTTTTCAATCACACAGTATGAATTCCAATTCAATTACTTGCACCCCATATCACTAGTTAGTTGCCATGTTTGTGAATAAATTCTCTCCAGCTATAAGGAGCAAAGCTCACACACAGCGGCTGATGGAGGGCGGGATCGCATTCACTAGCTTTCAAGCCATCCTGGCAAGCTCCTCCAAACTAAGGGTTTTCTAACTCATCTTTGTGTGGGCCACTTGGTATGTACTATGGTTTAGGGTTTAATGATATCTCTATTTATTTGTAAATGAGAGGTCTTAAGTTCAGAACTTGCGAATCGCTAGTCCAAAACAATTCATTATGCCACCCTTGATGTAGATATATCGTTGTATAAAAAAACTAATATTTCTGTGGACATATTCTTTCCTTTCATTTCCTTGAGTGTAATCTTATCCTAATACTATATAAGATACAAATTCTGCAGCGTTTGTTCCCCTATCCGTAGGACTTTTCTTTTGGAGGAAAGAAAAGTTATATAACAACGTCCGAAAATAAAACCACATTTGATTAGTTCCAAAATTGTTATATAACTTCAGGTATTAACGGATACACAACGTATAATTATTGAAGTACAACTGGACAAATGCATATAGACAGTGCATTTCATATCAACTCACTCGTGCCTTTGATTTACAAACTATAAAATAACTAGACTACAAAGAAAGACCTGCAGCTGCGTAAATGTAATGTCACGCTTCAATGAACATAATGTCACAAATCACAATACCTACCCTACGGCAATAGCTCTCTCTCTTTTTCTCTGCCTTTATATAACACCACCTCTTTCATATCATTTCTCACCAAAACTTCCACAAACTACTTGAAACTATGGCTTCAAAATCCACAATGTCCCTAGCATTGCTCTCTTTAGTGACACTAGTGCTGACTCTCGGGGCTAAAGCCAGTGGAATCGCAATATATTGGGGTCAGAATAGTAACGAAGGCACATTGGCTGAAACATGTACTTCGGGGAATTACCAATTTGTAAACAAAGCTTTTCTCACCATATTCGGCAATGGCCAAACCCCCGCCATCAACCTAGCCGGTCACTGTGACCCAACGACCGATGAATGCACCAAATTGAGCCCAGAAATCAAGTCATGACAAGCCAAGGGGATTAAAGTCATACTCTCCATAGGAGGAGCTTCTGGGAGCTACTCTAGCTTCAGTTGATGATGCAAGGCAAGTTGAAACTTGTGGAACTTCTTGGGAGGGCATTCCTTGTCGAGGCCGTTGGGAGCTGCAGTATTGGATGGAATTTACTTAGATATTGAAGGAGGGACTGACCAACATTGGAATGACCTTGCTAAGTACCTATCTGGATATAGCAAGAGAGGCAAGAAAGTTTACTTGACTGCTGCCCCACAATGTCCCTTTCCTGATGCTTGGGTTGGAAATGCACTTAAGACCGGCCTCTTTGACAATGTTTGGGTTCAGTTCTACAACAACCCTCCCTGTCCGTACACTTCCGGCAATGTGGCTAATCTCGAAAGTGCTTGGAAGCAGTGGACTTCAGCCATCCCTGCACATAAGATTTTCTTGGGGTTGCCTGCTGCACCTCAGGCTGCTGGTAGCGGTTTTATTCCTGCTTCTGATCTCAACTCACAAGTCCTTCCGCATATTAAAACTTCGGCTAAGTATGGAGGTGTCATGCTTTGGTCCAAGTATTATGATGATCTTGATGGATACAGCTCCTCCATCAAGAATCACGTCTAGAATTTCAATCTGTTTACTATTTGAAGAACAAAAGGACGTCCATCCTTATACCTTGACTATATAAATATGTATCTGCCAGTCTATATTGATCGATTTTACGCAATCCAATACTATTAATTTCCTCGGTTTTTATGAATGAATGATATGAGCTTGAGTAAAAGAATGAATTAATGCAGTAACTGAATGTCAACTTTGATGAACTATAACTGAGCTTGCGTACAAGACTAACTAAATATGGTCAGTTATAACACGATTTCTAGTTGACTATCTAGGGGACATTGTGGAGTTACTACATGTAGCTTGAGATGAAGAAGGATGGGTATTGATGGTGAAGGAGCTGAAGTGATTGAATTCTCTCTTCGTTGCCTTGTACACATGATCTAGGCCTTCCTCAATTAACTCCAAAACCGTTTGGGGCATTGGTGGCATGTTGATGCCAACTGATCCTTCCAACATTCTCACCACTTCCCCCATTGTTGGTCTCATGAATATCTCATCTTGGATGCACCAAAAGGCAACTTTCAAGGCTCTCATGAGTTCTTCTTCTTCCACCGCTCCTTCGAGTCTCCTATCTGCAACTTTCATGGGATTTCCACTTGTCATCTCCTACAATCATGATTGAAAGTCATTACATAAAACCAAAGTTTCCGCAAGATTTGAAGGTTAACAAAAATTTTGCACAAGAAAAAGAATTCTAAGAAATTTTCTATTATACCTTAAAAGCACATCCAGGATAGAAAAAGTCATCTGCATCAAATGACATGTCCAGGTTTCTTCGACCGCCAACGATCTCTAGAAGAAGCATACCGTAACTATAAACGTCAGCCTTGACGGTTATAGGACGGTTACTCACCCACTCCGGAGCCAAATAGCCTCTTGTTCCTCTGACCATGGTAACAACCTGTGAGTGCTCTCTTCCCATCATCTTAGCTAGTCCAAAATCGGAAACTTTTGGACAGAAATTTTCATCTAGCAGAATGTTTTCTGGTTTGATGTCACAATGTATAATTCGATCTCGGCATTGCTCATGAAAATATGCAATTCCTTGTGCAGTACCCACGGCTATATCAAAGCGTGATTGCCAATCTAGCACCTTGTCTCGGGGATAATTTGAGCCAAATATCCATTTGTCCAGTGACCCATTTTTCATGAACTCATAAACTAAAAGCCTGCCAGCACGAGAAAATATGTTCTGTTTTTAGATCAATCAACTGTAGCATCTTTGAATGTCTACTAGAATTCATAAAACCATGTGTCATTGGCTACAGACATTTTAAGATTGTTTATGAACCATTACTAGCTTTTTGAATACAGAGAGGAGTGTTTAGGTTTCTCAAAGTTATTGCTTACCGTTGTGAGCTCTCGGAGCAGTACCCGCATAGACGAACCAAGTTCATGTGATGCATGGATCCAATGGTGTTCACTTCGGTTATAAACTCCTTCTCCCCGTGTGGCAGAACCCTTTCAAGTTTTTTTACGGCAACCAAAGTTCCATCTGCAAGGCTTCCCTTGTAAACACTCCCAAATCCCCCTGAAAAGTAGCATATAATTACCAAACAGAACCAACACTACAAGAAAATAGCAAATTACTATTATACGTAGAGTCCATTCTTACCAGTTCCAAGAAGCTGTGAGAAATTCCACGTACGAATTTGTAATTCGCGGTAACTAAGATTCAGCGGAGCACCAGACAGGATTACTAAGCTTTCCAGTGCTCTCTTCAAGGATCTCCTCCTATGCACATTGTAATATAGCAAAAGACATAGGAGGGCAACAAGGAAGGTCATGCTGAGAACAATAGGAATAACCAAAACTTTTGTTCGCCGGTTACCAGACCCCTTTGAAGACTCCCCGGATCCTTGTACATCGCCCTCTGAGCCATTAGACCTAATCTTCACAAACAGAGTGGAACCAGGATCCTCATAGCCACCAAAACCCAAGCTTCTCAAGACCCAACAGTATGGACTTTCGTCATCAAGGCTGTAAACAGAAGCAACACATTCACAATCAGCTAGACAAATATCTCCACATTTTGTTACATTCTCAACATCGCTGTAGTTTGCTATGACTGAAAATTCTGGAAAATAGTAATTGGTTTGCTGCATCGTTGAAGTTCTAAACTGGGATGGCCCATAATTACCCTGCCGTTCACATTTTCGGATAAGTGATGAATTTTCTAAACACTGACTTCCCCCAGATACCTTATAAGTCCCCGGCAGACATGTGCAAGAAGCATTAGTCATACTCATATCCAAATTACATATCCCATTGCCACAAATTCCAGCAATGTCACATGGTGTTGAAACTGCAGCCCACTCTGGCACCCATTGCCTTGACCCGTTAACATCATTATCCCAACGATACAAGCGCAAATTCCCATTACTCTCGAGAAACAGTCTTCGAAGAACCGATGATCTGGTTGATATGTTTGATGCTGCTGATAGTCCCCCATTATCACCATCATTCTTGTACACATAAACAGCTCCATCTGATGACTCCCCATACACAATTCCAAAGCTGCCTGCTTCATCTAAAACCGCTGCAACATCCCAGTTACATTTGATATGTCTGGTCCGTTCCAATAAGAATAGTTATAGTATGATTCAGGGGAGGAATTGTATAAAGTTTCAGGCACGTTGTAAGTCAAGGCAAGGCTTAAGGAAGCGCGTTGTTGAAGCATTTTGAGTGCATAGTAACCACCATGTGAGGGGGACTTCGAAGTTGTTAGCTCTAAAGAGACTGAAAGAGGTTGGTTTGGGAGGAGAGTGTCAGATGGGTGTGAGAAACTCTGCCACACAGGGTCCTTGACATCATTGTAGATAACAAAGTTTCCAGATTCTTGCAATGTTGCGCCTTCAACACCAGCGCCGGAGGTGTTTGAGGTCCACGTGGTAGCATCTCCATCCGTGAGGACAAGGTTTCCAGTTGTATCAAGCTCTAGGATTGCATTGTTGGAGACGGCTGAGTTCCTATACATTTAGATGATTGAGACAAAATGAAATTTGCAACCTGCAAAAGCTATTGTAAAGACTAGAGATGGGGGGACTGGTTTGTGATTTTTTTTTTTACTTCTTCTAATTAGTCGAAGTCTATTAATTATTCACTTTATATGCAACATTCTATATGCAAGATATTCGGCAAAATGATGGATCAAAGTCAAGGACTGATAACATATCGATCAGATATCGGAAAATCAGATCATTTCAACAAATGCCATTTGTAAATTGATCACTTCAACTAATTTTTCAAGATATTTTTTATTCTTGGACTAGTTAAAGTATGCTACACATAAAAATACACTAGCCTTGTAAGTCAAACATAACATTTTCATTCGTCTTTCTTAACTGAGACTTATTCATGGACACAAGTTTAAAAAATTATTAAGCAAGTTATAATTCAATGAAAAATAAAAAGAAATCACATAAAGAGAGAAATATATTTGCTGTCGTAATATTTATGGACCTAGATCTACTGGTTAAGATCTAGTTTTGTCAATTTGCTTTTTCAAGGGATTAAAACGAGGAGGCTTTGGATGATTAACCTGTTAGCAGACCATACTATGGTTCGATCTCCGGGAAGCTCCGCAAACCAAATTGCCAGTTGAAGTCTGTAGTCATCGTCCGACGTTGGAGTGAACCCTAAAGCAAATGTGCCATTATCTGAGACGAACGTTTGGTTCTCTCTAGCCAACAGCCTCGAACCCAAACCAATCCGGCTAGCCGAGCAGGTATCAAACCCAGCTACAACCAAGAAGAACAGTGCCACCAAATAAGTAGAAAAATAAGTAGAGGCCATTGCCTTTGGAAGCTTATTTGTTGAAAAGCTGATTACGCTAGAACAAGGGAAAAAAAAAAAAAAAAAAAAGGTGGCTGTGCTATTTGTGGAACCGGGAGGGAGAGGAAGACTTTCATGCATCGAAGAAATTTAAGAAATGATGACACATCTAAGTACTGGTGGGTGAGCTAAATTTTGAAAAAAGTTGCCCCAGTATTTGGTCAGCCTACAGGCGCAGTTGGATGTTGGGGTACGTGGTGAATGAATGCAGTGTGGTCTTGGATACTGGACTATGAGTTCGGAGTTCTAATTATTTGCATGAGAATATATAAATTGTGGCTTTCACACCCATATATCAGTGGGGATGGATAAAAAAGTAGATGGTGAATGATCAAGTTCATTTTGTCTTTGCTCATATTATAACATTTTCGGATCCTAAAATTCAAAGTATGTTGAAATTCATATGTAAATAGGTTTTGACATTGAAAGCTCGAGTATTGTTTTCAATCATTTTGTCCATTTGATAATGTAATCTCTTGTTGAAATTTGGAACAAAAAGTTTTGTATGTTGAAATTCATATGTAAATAGGTTTTGACATTGAAAGCTCGAGTATTGTTTTCAAACATTTTGTCCATTTGATAATGTAATCTCTTGTTGAAATTTTGGAACAAAAAGTTTTGTTGTGTGGTTGATTTTTCGAACAAAAAGTTTTGTAATGTAATCTCTTGTAAGACAAGTGGAGGACTGTCTGGTGGTTATGATTTTTCTCTTTACTTTGGGCTCAAACTTATCTCCATCTCAAACACAAACGATTCTAAGAGCAATATTGGATATTAAGTCGTAGGCGAAAACTAAAAACAAACAATTTCAAATAAAACACAAGAGATTTATGTAGTTTGGTACGGAAGTCTGCTGTATATGCGAAGCACAAACTCTAACAAAACCAAACGAGAATGGAGAACTCTCCCAAACTGCTCTCTAACTCTCAAACTTACAAACTGGCTCTCACAAAACTGTCACAAATTTGCCACTACAAAATAAACCATCCTTAAGGTTCGATTTATAGAGTATATATAGAAATTAGGGTTACATATGATCTAATCAAGAACGAAAACTCAACCCAAATAAGACACAAGCTTAGCCTAAATATAATTCCAAAATGAAGCGGCCCTGCAAAAATTTTCGATCCACGCACCCGAATCGCTCACCACGATCTCTATGGTACCTCCTAAAATCCTCATCGGTGCTTACTCACTGGACCTCTTGGTTGTCCAGCTCCAAATGGTATTATTTTTTTAGCTATACCACCAGATTTGCTCTACCACAATCACCTCTCCCAAAACTCAACATCCACCACCGCCCCACGCTATCTCACTACCACTTCTCGTCCAAGAAACCGCCAAACGCACTCCCTCAGCATCACAACTTCAATATCACATTTGGTTCCATAGAAAGAGAGAGAAAATGTAGGTAGAAAAGAGGAAAGGAGGCCGATAGGGTTGGGGGAGCTTTTGGATTTTCTGAATTATTATTTTTTTTTTCTAATTTTATTAAGTTAGCGCCATTATGTTTAGGGATTATATGTCAAAATATAAGAGATTGACATTTATTTGGCATGCAGTATTTTTGCTTACCACGTACTATGCTATGATTTGTACTCACCACATACCTAACCATCTGTTGTATGTCATTTTACTTAACTCTAGTTAATTTTCACATTAAATGTTACATTTTTAATTTTGAATTTTTTTTTTAATCAAGGTTAAGTGCAATGACACTTAGCAAATGATTAGGTGCATGGTGAGCATACACCATATTGTTGATGGTGGTGAGTAAAAATGCATCCTATATGGCACAAAGGCATGATACAGAAGATTTGAAGGTCGTTTTTTCTACAGCTTGGTTTGGTATGGGATACCGAACTGAAAATGGTATACCAAATCCCGAACCAAAAATTTTCGGGACAAGAATCCAACAACTGGTCTCGAACTAAATTTCGGGATTCTGGAAATATTTTTGGTATTTCGGGATTTCCCGAAATCGAACTTGCATCAAAATTCACATAATCTAGATTGAAATTGAAATCATCTAAACCTACATTAAAAACCCAAATTGAAATCAGAGAAAGTGACAGTGAATCGGTGGTCGAGAGAGATGACATAGTGAAGAGATAGGTAGATGACCCGCATCCTCTTCTTGACCTGAGCCCCTAATTCGAAGCCCTAAGCCCCAATTTGAAACCCTCAACCCCAGTCAAAACCCTAACCTTAATTCGAAACCCCACACATAGAGAGACTAGAGAGAATTAGTGGTGGAGGATGAGGTCGTGAGGTGTGGTGGTGGCCATAGTGGAGAGGTTTGTCGGAGTCAAATTGTGAGAGGATAGGTGGCTACTAAGCTTCGAATTTGAGAAGGAGTGACAAAGAGACAAAGAGTCTGAGACTGAGTTAACTTAAGGCTTGAAGGTCTGAGTCTTTCAAACAAAGCCAAACTCTTGGTAAGGATTGACGATGCTATCACTTGAGCTGCTGCCATTCCTGCAACATGTTTTTCAGTGAGGGATGAAAAGTCGAGAGAGAGATCAGAGAGGTCAATCGACAGAGAGAGGTGAGTCACTTATGTGAAGTGGCCAAATTGGAAGACGACAAATAAGAAGGAGGATAGACATCGAGAGAAATCGGTGAAGATGAGAGAGTAGGGTGAGGTGAGGTCGAGAGAGAGACTGACGGTTTTATTTGGATTCAATGGTTAGGATTAAATCTCAATTAAATCCAACGGCTGTTACAATTCCAAATATATATATTTTTTATTTCGGTTCGGTTTGAGATTACCGAACGAATGAAAATGTGAGACTGATTCCCCTACCAAAATTTCGGTATCGGTTTGGGATTGGGTACCGAAATTTTCGAAATTTTTGGTCTGAGATTTTTTTGTTTCGGTTTTGGAAATTTTTTGGTTCGGTTTGTTTTCGGTATTTTTCTTTTCCACCCTATTCTATATGCATAGGCTTAAAGCACTAATAAACGTCTTACTTCCCCCCCCCTACCCCTAAATTTGTGTTGATTTACCCGACACGAAAAACGCAAAGATTAATGGGTATAACCACATATTTATCATACATTTTTATGGACTTTGGATCCTGTCCTAAGCTCAGAAATCTAAGCGTCCAACTAAATCACATGGGTCGATGGATTTTGATCCAACGGTTGCAATTATTATAACTTTTAGGAGGATCTCAGGTTTGTAGCCGTTGGATCAAAATCTAACGGTCCATGTGATTTGATCAGGAGGCTTAGATTTCTAAGCTCAGAAGAGGATCCAAATCCCATTTTTATAACTCTAGGTACATGATCACATGATGAGAAAGTAAAAAATATGATAAATCCTTGATTAGTTGTATGGTAAAACATCCCCAGAATACATGCTAATAACAGGTCTGCCCTTCTAGAACCTAATTACATCTTTGCGACTTTGATAATTATCTTACAACAAAACTAGTTTTATATTCAGAACACCACTATAGTTGCAGACAGCATACAATGATTGCGACATAATAGAATAGTATTATAGGCTGAGGTTTGTGCTGAGGTAGTTCGCAAGTGAGCATCTTATGCTGAAATCATCCTCTCAAAACTGGTCTAAACCCTCCCCAAACTTTTTGATAAATACAATGTAACATCAAAACTCGATCAGAAAAAATAAAATAAAAATAACATAAAAATTAGACAATGGCAATGAATAGAAAGCTAAACAATTTCAACTACATATTGGTTGACCAATCAACTTTTCAAAGATTGGTTGTACAAAGTACGTGATCCCACTCTATGGTTGTTCATTTCTATATATGCAGCAAAAATAATCGCAAGTTCTCACATCATTTTTCATTGCATTTCAAAACTTCATTTTTACCTTCTTGTGTGCAGGCTTTTTTATTTCTATGTTACAAATTTAAAAAAATAGAACTTGATAGTTTTAGTAAAAATGAAAAACAAAATATGTATGGTTGGAACAACAGATGATATTAACGAATAAGTTTAAACCTTAAATCGCATATGAATCCAAATTACCAAAATCATTCATATGCAAACCAATCAACTCAATCACGCTCAAACCAAATTGGTCTAATACGCAAGGAAAAGTTGTAATCCATATTTCAGTTTTCAGTCAATTTCATTTCATTCTTAATTCGGATCAAATGTATGAGAGAATTGTTTGGATGAGGGTGAACGAAATCGACTATTTTAAAGTTGAATTTTCAGCCAGGAACATATAAATTAGAATATAATACGAGTGTTTTTTCTACAGTTAGGAAATCAAAAGCATGCTTACGAATTTTAGCTTACTACAAATTGTGTGTGACTTTGTTTGAGCAATGAAAACAGATCCAATTATATTTGCAAGTTAATCTTGCTGGCTGAAAATCTATTATATTCTAATTTGTATTGTTTTCGTCGGAAAATTCAGCTTTAATGAAAGTAACTACTATAAAGTGTAATTTGAAAATTGTATAGTTCATAGTACAGACCAAAAATTAGCAATGATGTTTTCGATTCTTGCTCTCAGTTTCATTTTCAGTGTATGGAATGGAATTGAAAAGGTATTTCATGAGATGAAAGTCGATTTTGAAAAGCTGATTGCATGTAATTGGAAGGGAGAGCAAATATTGCTAACCATTTAATCTCGCCTGCTAACCTTTTATTGTTTTCAATGTTTATAGATTACCGAGCAGTGTAAATTTCGGATCCTATTTTTAAAGTCAGAGCAGAGTAAACAAACTAATTGTTAAAAAAAAAAAAAAAAACCACATAAACAGAGAGAAAAAACAGATACTTGGGGATAGATGGAAACTTGTTTGGCAATTTCCCATGTATATCCAGAGCATGATTTTTAATTAATCTGCACCAAAAATTAAGTTTAATTTGCAGGACACGTGATATCAGGGAAAAAAGGGTATACCGAGATTATGACAGATTGTGGGATGTTGTGATAGGCTTGTTGTTAATACTATATGTTACATCATATTCTTTATAAACACCTTTAGGTAACAAAAGTAAGCATTCTTCACTAAGTAACTCTCTCAAATAGGCTCAAATTTCAGTTTTAATTTGCTCAACCGTTTAGAGTGCTTAATGTTTTCTGATTCTTCATTTCTTAAATCGACTAAAAAGAGCAAAAATGAAGATGAAATTAAGAAAGTGAACCTGGTGGTCCTCGCTTCCACCGCCGATGAGGAGATTGAGGGGATTGATTTTAGCTTATCGGTTGAAAAGCTAGCTTTCTTCTTTCTTCTTCCCATTCAGGTTCTATTATGTGTCTTCTTGTACCTTCAAAACATTACCAGTAGTTCCAACCACATGACATTGAATCAGCCAAAG